AAAAATAAAATGTAAAAAAAAGTGATGATTTTTATGAAAAAATGAAAAAAAAAAAAATTAATTATTGAACATATAAAGATTTGGTCACTTTTCTATCGCGTACGTTACTAGCACTGGCACACGCTTTTGAAGAAGTGTGCTTATAACGAGGCATTGGACCGCGATGATAAAACAATGTTGGCTGTTGTTGAAGTTGTTGAACTTTTGGAAATTGAATCGAAGCCGATTTTGTTGGAAATTTAACTGATGTAGTTCTTTCAAATTTTGTATTAACTCCAGAAGAATATTGAGTTGAAATTGACGAGCTGGAAGTCAATGATGGATATGCACTTAAACGATCTTGAAGTTCACATTCCTTTGAACAATAAATTGCTCCCTAAAATAAAAGAAAAATAAAAAAAATTTAAATATTTTGAGAAATCAAAAAGATGCACACAAAAAACCAAAAACCAACTTTCTTTTGCTAATACTTACGGGAATATTGCAATGAGAATCACACATGATGCACCAATCTGTATCCATTTTAAAAATTTTAAGAGTAAAAAGAAATAAAAGAAATATATTTTAAATTTTAAATTTTTTTTTTTTTTTTTTTTTTGTGAGAGAGAGACGTTAAAATAATATCTCGTAATAAATAAACAAAAGTTCCGAAACTTAAAAAGAAAATTTATTTTTCGAAATTTTGTGAAGAATCAAAGTTAGAAGAATGGGCCATATTTATATGTTTGAGGTAAGTAAATGCGGATCTATTAGGCCGAAATAATTTTTTTTTTTTTTTTTATAATAGAGTACATAAATTTTTATAATGAATGAAAAATGTTTTAAAATAAAAATTTATATGGCAATTATAAAGAATCAATAAATTATAATACAATACGTAATGTATAAATAAATAAATATACATATACTGTAAATAAAAAAGAAGGATCAACAATAAAATATGCAAGGTGTTGATAGTTGATAGTTTGAAATATCAACATTAATAAATAATAAAAAAGTAAAATATACTTGAAAATTAATAAATTGGGAAAATTCAATACGGTAAAAGTAACTCCCTGCCGCGGTTTATAAGCACCTTTTTTAATATAACAAAACGATTGACAAACGACATTTAAAAGTTAAATGGTTTAAAGTTATTTACATAAAAAATGTATAAAATAATTTTCTTTAAAAAAAAAAAAAAAAATTTCTTTTTTTTTTCTTGTTTCTTCCTTTCAATCATGCCGCTTTCAATTATCATTCCGGCCGAGTGGCATGAAATTTTCAATAATTNCAATGAGAATCACACATGATGCACCAATCTGTATCCATTTTAAAAATTTTAAGAGTAAAAAGAAATAAAAGAAATATATTTTAAATTTTAAATTTCTTGTTTCTTCCTTTCAATCATGCCGCTTTCAATTATCATTCCGGCCGAGTGGCATGAAATTTTCAATAATTAATCGGAGTGAAACACAACGAATCATTATCATTAGTACTCCGAAAAGCCAAAAAAAGCATTAATAATGTTGATATCTATATATGTTAAAAATCTTTATTTTTAGAATAAAGTCTTGTATAAAAGTACAAATGGCGTAATCGTCATATTTTATTCCAATGTTATCATCATATATATTTTATTATAAACTTTTGCTATCATTTTCCAGAAGTGATCTTCACTTTTTAAATAAGCGCCACTTTCCATTGGTGTTTTGGCATTCAAACATTGGATTATTACTACATGTGTACAAACAATCGTGTAATTGAATTTTTATTAGCTAAAATAATAATAATTATTATTTTTTTTTTTTTGTTTTTCGTTCTGATCAAAGAAAAACGAACAAGTAATTTTTTTATATATATTCTCCTGCTTTGCGTTTAGATTCCTTTTTCTTTTTTTTTTTTCCTAATTTAGTTTTAGCAAGATTAAACGGTTATTTTACAGTTAACCAATTCGATTAAAGTCTATTATTATGTTATGAAACCCATATGGTAAAGAAATGAACACCAATTAATTTTTTGTGTAAAAAATGTCAAAAAAAAAAAAAATATTTATTTTTTTTAATATTGTGTTCGAAACAACGCAACAAACCCAAACAACGATGAACGCATTTAGAGTTAAAAAAAAAAATTACATGGAAATTTTTTTTAAAAAAAGATAAATAAAAATTTAATTAAAGACACCAATGAAATCAATTCTCTTTATTTTTCTGTGTAATCTAAGAGCTGAACAAATGACTTTTTATTCCTTATGCGAGATTGATTATCCAATTTTAATTTTTGTAACGTTATTTAAATAATTGTATGGTCATCATAAATTATTTCCCCGAACCTATTTTATATTGAATTTTAAAAATTGTAAGAAAAAAAAAAGAAGAATTAAAAAATGATACATTATTAATATTTTTACATTAATATTTTGAAAAATAATAATAATTATGGGAAGGACAAAAAGAAAAAATAGGTAAGACTTATCTTTTTAATTCCCATATATTGGTTGAAACAATACTTTTTGAAATAATGATTGGGAAAGTAAAATTTATTTTGTATTACGTTCTAAAACTTTTTTTTGCCATAAATTAATTATCTTTAAACTAATTATATAATTATAATAATTTTATTTTTTACTACCCTTTTTAAACCAAAAATTCTTTTTTTTCTAATTAATGAATTAATGATCGACGCCTTTTTTTTACTGCGACCATGAATTACGTTATTTAATTCAAGAATTGCCCAATTTTTACCTTTTTTCATTTTTTTTAAAAAATTTCATATGATGCAATCTTCGATTTTTTAGTAATTTTATGATGTATAATAAATATATCAATAAATATTTATATAAATTTGTGAATTTACGCGTCAAAAATATGATGAAAACTTGATTTTTCCGGACTTTTTGAAAGTTTGAAAATCCTTGATATCTCCTGAATTGACATGAGTTTTAATAATCATATGTATGTATATACATTATTATATATAACGTATATAAAACGCATGGACTATGAAAATCTATTTTGAAGTAAAAGGGAGTATTATAAACTATACAGATATAGAAATTTCCCGTCAATAATGTTTCACATTTTCATTCTACACTTTTTTGATGTGCCGATAATTGAATTTGATATACGACATTTTACTTCACGTGATCTTTTTATAAAATCATTTATTTAAAATGGTTTAAATGAAAATAAAAAATAAAAGTAATTAACTTGTTATAGGTCAAAAAAAATATAATTTTTGGGGAGAAAGGAAATCATTTATACCTGATTACTGATTATTATTTTATTTTATTTTGTTTATAACTTTATAACTGATCATTAAAATCACGTGATTATTAGCTGTTTTTTTTTTTTCATTTCGTCATCGTACTACTCCATTAAAGGAGGTGGGAATTAGGGGAAAATATTTGATTGAAGTGATTTAAAGTTTATTTAGGGGGTAACGAATGATTTTAAAATCTACTATTTCCTTAAACAATACGTAACAGGAAGGAAGTTTTTTTTTTTATTTTGATTATCGACAATCATTCAAGTTTTTTTAAAAAGGATCGAAAAATAATTAAAATTATTAAAATTATTAAAATTATTGATTTTCCTCAAACTTTCCAAATAAATAAATAAATAAAATAAATAAATAATATTTACATATATAGGTAAATTGAGGTAGCAAGGAGTAGTATTAACTAGTATGAGGGGTTGGAGAATTGATCATGTGCTGCGGTAACAGTGACACGTCCCGAGATTTGTATCGCAGAAAAAAAAATGTAGTATTTTTGCCGTCATATAGAAAGCGCCAAAAGGACTAAAACTTTTTTGGTAAAATTAATTTGTCCATTTTTGGATATTCTATATACCGAAATTTTTTTTAAAGTTTTTTTTTTTCACATATATAAAATTCGACGGCTAAAAATATGCCTACATATTAAATGAAATAAGATCATATGATTTTTTTGTTTTGCACCATTATTAGTTCAGTAACTGTTTTTAGAGCGTATTGTTATTTAGAACTTATTGTTATTATTATTTAGAGCGTATTAACAGTTAGCGTATTGTTATTATTTACAATCTGTTAACAACCATTTATCCGATCGGATCGGATAATTTATCCGGAATCATTTGAATAATAATTATCCGAATTCGGAACAGATGACGATATATCTTTCAAAAGATGGTTTAGATTTAAAAAAAAAATTGTTTTTATAGTTAAATACAAGGGCCTGGCCTGTAGGGGTTTATGTTACAAAATCATTAACAATCAAATTTTTGGGGGATTTTTTTATTAAGCGATGAGTTGATTCTGTTGATCCTTTTATTTTTCTAATGTACACGATTTCTTTATCATAGTTACCAATATATATATATATTTTTATATTTTTATATATTTTTTTTTTAAATAAAGTAAAAGATCAATTTTACTTTTATAAAACTGCTTAAAAATCTCTCTTTGTCCGTAGCTCCGCTTTAAAAAAATTTTAATTTTTTAATTCTGGTGAATTTAGGATAATTTTGGCCAAATTTATGTCATACGTCACAACAATACAACGATGTACATATATAAATGTTGGTTATCTCATTACAAATACACAGTGAAATTCGATATAATGGAACCATCCGTTCCATTAGTAAAATTTGTCAAAAATCCGTTATATCAGGAATTCCGTTATATCAAGAATTCCCATTATATCAAGAATTCCGTTATATCAAGAATTCCGTTATATCGAGGGTAAATTAATTTTAAAATTAATTATACGTTATGACCAGACCCAATTATGATCCGTTATATCGAGATTCCGATATATCGAATTTCACTGTGTACGTTTAGCAATTATTGGATCGTAACGGGAGTGTATTAAAAAAAAAAAAAAGTATTAAACATACAGTATTTATAAAATTACTTAATTGCATGAAACCTTATGAAACGGGCCCAATCAAACCCTTCAAACCCTTCAAAGTTCAAACCCTTCAAACATAATGATTATTGTTTTAATCATCCTATAATATATATGAGGAATTACCTGAATTTCAATTTCCAAATTCCCTGAAACATAATCAATTCCCTGAATCCCTAATTCCTAATTTCCCGAAACACGATTTCCCGAAATCCCTATTTCCCGAACCCTGAAAATCTAATTTAAAGTTTTAAAATCTCAATTTAAAAACTTTAAATCTCAACAAAATTGAGTAGTTGCTATAGTAGAAAATATTTAGTCCTATCGCAAAAAAAAAAAAAATAAACTGTTATACCATTTTATCTTATTTCTTACATTATTTAAATAAAATATTATTTAATTTTTTTTTTAAAAACTGTAAAACTAGATTCATAGTATTGGGCGACCCTTTTCATTCAGGAGCTAAATCTCAATAAAGTTTTTTTTTAAAATCTCAAATTCAAAAATCTCAATATCCCGAATTTATAGGTGTCGTTGAAATGTCGTATTTATAATTATGGCATTACGGCAAAAATGGGAATTTTGGCCATAAAATATCAAGATTGGCATTCAATAATTTATTGTGGTAGAATGGTATTACGGTATAAGCTTCATATGCCGTAATCAATTTTGACGACACCTATACCCGAATTCCAATATCCATCCTAATATTATTTTAATTGTATAAATTGTGAGCCTTTTACAAGAAAAAAGATGGAATATAAAAACGGATCGACTTTTTTTACACGGCTAAAAGGGCTACTAAATAAGAAATCATTTTAAAACTTTGTCCATAATTTCTGTAAAAACTCCATGAATATGATACATTTATAATTTTCCATGTTTTAGACTATAAAAATTCCGTGAATATGCGGAAATAACACGGAATAAAAAAAAACACGTAAATACAGTATGTGTCATAATTCTTAAATTTCGAAATTTAGAAACTTTTGGTATTTATACAGATCAATAAACAATACGTCTTCACCGTCTTCAAATAAATGAGTGATACAATTTTTGAATAGCATATAATGAATATATAATAATTATAATAATTAAAAAACTTAATTTAAAACTTATACAACAATCATACATATAATTGGAATGTCTTAAGAAGTTAACACTTTAAAAAATAAACATTTCAGTATATCAAGAAAATTTGTTATATGGGTTCTATGGAGACGTAAAGAGAGTTCCGTCCACTATTATACAATTATTAATGAAATCCTAAAAGCTTTTGCTTTACAATTTATATTAATAAAAGATTTATTATAAAAGATTTTATATTTTGGATCAAATAATAATAATAAATATAAAGATTTAATATACTGTATATTTATTGATTACAATCCATTTATTTGATTTTACGTATTATGCAATATCTTTTAAATGTTTAATATCTTTTAAATGTTTACTGAATATCTTTTAAATGTTTTTATTAAAGAAATAAAAGGTCATACCGTGATAAATTTTATTTTTATATTTCAGAAATTATCCATTCAGGATAGTGATGCCTGCCTAGGTTTCGTCATTACTAAACTATGTAGTAATTTTAATTCTAGTTATATAAAATTATAAATTTTATTATAAAAATGGGTTTTGTTTTTTATCGTACCCGCGAAATATCGTATCCTCATATAAAAGCCGAAAACAGTATTCTAAACCCTTTTTGATATACTAATTAAATTTGTAAAGCAGGCAAAAATACGCATACTATATGGTTTTTAAAAGTGTTACAATAGGTTGCCATCCCGAATTAATGATGCTGAAATATTCAGTCTCATTTGACGAAACCGAAATATTTAGTCTCATTTGATGAAACCGAAATAGTTTAGACAAAGACGACCATGGATTTTTAATTATAATAATTATAAAATTATTGGATTTAATATTTTTTTCGCATATGCGAAATATCGCTTCCCCGGTTTGGGATTCATTTGGAATTTTCCCTATAAAAAATTTTATCCGTTATTTCTTAAAAACTTCGTAAAAAATGTGCCTTTCACGGATCCATTCACGGAAAATGTAAATAATTCGATAAATTTCGTGATATAAAGTTATTAATTCCGGAAATATGGGTCTTTTACGGAAAAAAGAGTGGTATATGAAAACGGATCTACTTTTTTTACAGAGAATACAGAGAATTGAGATTTTAAGAAATTAGATTTTCAGGAAATTAGGGTTCAGGAAATAGAGATTCAGGAAATTGTGTGTTTCAGGAGAATTAACTGATGGGAAATTCGGTTATGTTGATTTGCTCGACATGAATAAATATATATAAATATGTATAATTTTCAAAATTACGACCCGGATAAATTGAATAAATATGTATGATATAGTTTTCAAAATTACGATCCGGATAAATTGAATAAATATGTATAATTTATTAAAGATATATATTAGTTAATGTTACTATCGTTAATTAACAAATTAAACATTACGGATGACAGATGAAACAGTAAAGCAAATAGATTGAAGGCTCAATGATCTAATATATCTAAAAGACATGATTTTCACTATGAATCTAAATAGTAGGTGAAAAGAATCGTAATATATATGTATTAAGAACAAGGTTTGCTTAAAAATCATTTTTGACCAGCATTCAATGCGTTACAGTACCCTTTTATAATGGGAGACAAATGAGACTATAAAAATAATTCATTGTTGCAACACTAACGGCTAACCCTAAGCCTACGCATAATTCGCATATATATGGATAACGGGGAGTAGATTCCTCCCTGTGGAACAAAAAGATAAGTTCGTGAGACAATCAGGATTAAATCAGTAAATTTTACGCTGAAAAGCTACGGGCGTAATTCCTTTTGAGCAACAAAAAAATCATGTGGTAAGGAAAAAAAAAAGAAAGGGGTTTTTATGGATGGGTTTCTTTAAGACTTGTTAAAAATTTTTTATCCAATCAGAAAAATTTGAATTAAAAATTCTTTCAACAATGAAACCTGTTTTTAGATATGAAATTAATATTTATTGATTTACATAATGAAATTAAAAATTTTTTTTTTTTTTTTGAGTTACCAAAAAAAAGAAGAGAAAAAGCACCAAATGAGTAAGTTTCATTAAATAATAATATCCTTTTTTTCCTTTCACTTTCACATGATGTTTTATTGTAATATTCAGTACATCCTTTGTAATTTGCATTGATTAAAACATTATAATTCAACTTTTTAAGCCAAAATTTTCGCTTTTATATTAAATACCAAAAAAAGCAAGCAAATACTAAAAATTTTTTTTTTTTTAAAAAAAAAAACTCGCCCAGTCTTAAGATTTGTTTATATTTAAAAAATATAATAATTTTCATGAAAAATCTCATTCCCGTTCATTTCTCACTCTTTTATATTTTTTTTTATTTGGGACCGGGCCTCAATAAAGCCGTAAAAATGTATTTATGATTGGTGATGTTATTTACGAAAATGTCCCGTGAAAAATCTTGGCATTATCAATAATCAAATCATCGATACCCATGATACGTTTGAAGGGATGTTGGGGGCTTTTATGAATACCGGATATGGACAATTTATGATTAGATTAATGGGGTGTACTGCATGAAATCTTGATAAACGATATGCCCGTATTTAAACGGGTTGAAAACTGTCAATTTCAAAAATGATTTTTTTTTTTTCCTTAAATTCAATTATGGGGAAAATTTACATATAAAACATCATTTTTCTTAATCAGTTGAGAATATAAATAAATATATATATATATTTTTAAATATTTATACCAAAATTTTTTTTATAATAAAATCCATTTTTTTTTTCCACAAAAAAAACAAGATCTTTCACAAAAAAGATTTTTTTTTTTACAAGATTTATTTACAAGATTTATCTTTTTTACAAGATTTATTTTTTTTTACCTAGTTTTTTTTTCACAAAAAAATATTTATTACATATAAACATTTATTTTTCACAAAAGATTTATTTATTTTTTTTTTTTCACATAAAAAATTTATTATAATTATACACACACATATATATTTTTCATATAAACAAAATTTTCTATTTAAAAACATCATTTTTTTTTCAAAAAAACAGAATGCCTAGTTTACCCAAGGGACCCCCGCGTTCTTTATATAAAGAATTTACACCATCAATATATTTTTCTTATCAAGAGGGACGAAAATCATTTCAGGAAGGATTTCTTGGTATTACTAATAATACATCAATCGTTGGTTTTTTACATCTTAGTTTTCCTTCAAATGATCCAATGTATATAAAACAGATAAAATTATCATTTTCAGGAGCAGAATTTATTCAATTACATGATACTGGACCAAAATTTTTAAATTATGGAACAAATTCAATATGTAATATTACTACTGAATTATGGAAAAGTGATAATAATGATTATAAAGAAATAAGGAATATGATTTTACCTTTTGAAATTCCTCTACCTAATGATATACCTTCAAGTTTATCAGTAAATAAAGATCGAGGAAAGATTGAATATAGTCTTAGAGCTATAATATCGCGTAAACCAAATATTAAAACTTTTCAAGGTTCAACAAAAGTTATACAATGCGCTTATATAGTCGATCGGTATAGTTTACCACCTTCAATACCTAATCCTATAACATGGAAAAATGATAAACCAAAGAAAGGGATTGGATATGAAATTTCTTTAAATGATAGAGTTTTTGGTCCTCGTTATCCAATTATTGTTAGAGTGAAATTAACATTTTTCGATGCTCGAGTTTCATTAGAAGATATTGTAATAAGTTTAAAAGAATATACTGCCGTCACAATTAAATCAGAGATTAAGAAGAAGCGTAAAAATGTGGGGAAAAAGATTATAAAGGGTAAACAAATTCCAATTTCAAAAGAAACTCAATATAATGAATGTATTATGGATATTAATTTTACAATACCTGATGATTGTCTTAGTATTTTTAATTGGTCAGAAGAAAGTTTTCATATTGAAGTTACTCATAAGGTTAAAATTAAAGTTAATTTTGGTATTTTTAGTAGACATAATATTAATTTAGAAGTTCCAGTAAAAATTAAAAATATGATGAGTGAAGAAGAAGAATCTTGTTTAGTCGCTGAACTTTTACACCAAGAAGAAATTTCAAGATATCTAGATTCTGAAACTCTACAACCTCGATATGATTCTTCTCCTCCTTCTTATGAACCAAATTTACCTACAAATCAAACATCTACTCTTCCTTCTTATTCATTAAATAACAATACTGATTCGCAGACTTCACAGACATGATTAGTAATAAATGTATATATATATATAGCATAACACATACACATTAAAAAAACTCAGAAAACTCTGTATTTTTATATTTACCGTATATATAATATATACAATAAAAATTTAGTCGTCAAAAAATTTCTTAGAAACGATTATATATATAACTCGTAAAATGATTTAATAAATTCTTTGGACAATTACAAATCATTCAATCTAATATATAATACTTCCATCATATGTGATAATTTCAAACCATTTCATATTAATATCCATCAATTGTTAAATAGAACTAAAACGTTCTCTAGTCAAAGAATCAATAGTTTAAATAATAATTTGATTTTATGATTGAAAAATACGTAATCATGAATCATGCATTTATATTTATTTACTTTTATTCGGTTACACCTTACAGTCCTTAAACGTCTTTACTAATAAGTTTGTAATTTAGTTACAAATTAACTCAATTACTAAAAATATTCTCATTTTGATAATGTTTTAAACCCACATTTGTAAAAAAAATCTAAAACTCTCTTCAAAACTTTATATATGTTTCAGGATCAAAATATACAATTTTTTTCCCAAAAATCTAAAATGGTTATTTCTCTATTTATGATATATATATAAATGCATACATAATGCACGATTAATCTAAGGAGTACATTTGTTTAATATATGCATTAAAGATTAGCCCCGAGAATAACCGAATCTGAAATGCCGAAATTAATTACCTTAAAATATGCATTAATTGTTGGTACATCTATTTATTTATATGCAAAAACCCGAATTTTAAATAAGTCTTCTCCGGGAAAGAAGTAATATAAAAAGTTCTCTGGTTATATATTTTTTTGTAATACATATCAGCCGAACCATATAATTTACACAGTAAATTATAATTAATTGGTTATATATATATATAGCGTGGAATTAAACATGTGTAAAAAATAGTTTTTATAGCACAAATCATAAATATTTATATTTTATGTTAATATTACGTTTACTATCGTTACTATTTTCCCAATTAAAGAAATACATGGAATATTTTTTTTTTATCAAACAAAAAAAAAAAGGTTTCTTTTTTTAAAAAAATCTTTGTGTTCAAAATTACAAATTTAATCGACAAAGGTTTCAGTGAGCGCAATTGTGTGTAATAATAATAATTAATTCATAATTTATTAGCCATAAATATATTAGGTTAGGAGCAAGTTAATTTTAACTTTTCTTTCGATTTTTCCAATTATCTTATTTTTGAATGCAAGCTCGCCAATTAAAATTTACGCCCATGATTTAATGCTTTAATCAAGTAAATTTGCATTGATTTTCTTCCAATAATAAAGTTGTTAAGAAATAATTGTAAGTGCAACATAAAAAGTTCGGGTCCTAACAGAAATCCATATTTGGATTGGTTCGATATATTTACACTGCACATTTTTTCAAATGATTTTATATAAGGTACAAACAACCTGATTTTACCATTTCTTTTTTTTTAAATTATTTGAGAAATAAACAAAATATAAATAAATAAAAAAAACAAAAAAGAACCTGTGGTTTTTTTTTTCTCCTTTTATGCATTCAAATTTTTAGTTCCCCTTATTCAAATTCATTATATATCTCTTTAAGACCTATACTTGGTCTTGTTTCAACTCTCTCCTTTAACACTCTTCTTCACCCTCGAAGGCAACACAATAAAATCATTCTAGAAGAAAAAAAATACTTATTTCATCTTTATTAATTATTTTCAATATATACAATTCTATAAATTAATATACTTCATTCGAAATGAAGATATTTCCTATTATTACAATCGCTTTTGCTACTTTTTGTGTGGTAAAAGCCTCCCCCCAAGCTGCTTCCCCGAGTTCGCCGGCTGCACCCCCTCCAATTTCAATTAATGACTATCCAACTGCTGATAAAATACCAGACACTAGCAGCCCTCAAGTCCAAGCATGGTTAAAAGAAATAGATCTATCAAAAGTTCCAAATCTTCCAATTTCAAATGGTGGTAAAATTAATACTCAACAGGCTCAGTGTGGCCCTCCAACTGTAATTCAACCAGATCAGGGATCTTGGACTTGTCAAAAATTCACTGCAGAAGATGATGTTGCATTTTGTCCAAATGTTGGTGATTGGGGGCTAACATATGACGACGGGCCATCAGAGTCAACACCCAAGTTATTAAGCAAATTGAATGAGCATAAGATTAAAGCTACATTTTTCGTAGTAGGAAGCCGTGTTATTAACAATCCTCAAATTCTCAAATCTGCTTTTGATTCTGGTATGGTTATCTCCCCTGTTCTTTCTAAAATTTTTACTTAATCGAATAACTAAAAAAAAATTTAAATAATTATAATAAAAAATTTAGGTCATAATATCGCAGTACACACTTGGTCTCATCCGGCACTTACCTCCCTTCCAAATGAAGCCATCGTTGCTGAATTAAAATGGACTATGAAGGTTCACATTTTTTCTTGTTATGTATCAAAATTTTTAATATAATTTTTGAATTTTAACATTTAATATAATTCCCATTTCTTTATCCAGGCTATTAAAGATGTTGTTGGTGTTACTCCTCTATATATGCGACCTCCATATGGTGATACTGATAATCGTGTTCGTGCTGTTGCTCGTGCTGTTGGTTTGAAAAGTATGTTAAAAATATTTGAATATATAATATATCATATACTGAAAATCTTATCAAATATAAACATATTTTTTATTATTTTTGTAGCCGTCCTTTGGGTTCCAGAATTCGATAGTAATGATTGGACTTTAACTTCCAATCCTCCTAAGACAGTCGACTTTGTTCTAAATACCTTTGAAACTTGGATGCAAACTTTCCCTAAATTGAAAACCGGGTTCATTGTTCTCGAACATGATCTTTATCCACAAACTGTTGACGCTGCAGTTCAAATTATTGATAGAGCTGTTAAAGTACCAAATTTGAAGATTATGACTGTACCTCAATGTATTGGTGATAATAACCCTTACTTAGAATTAGTTGGTAAAAATGGTAATAGTACTAATAAAGGTTCTACTCCGGGTAAATCACTTCCACCATCTGTAAGCGCAAGTCCATCATCACCTATCATTCCTTTCACTGTTGGATCCATTATTACAGTTTTATTCTCATCATTATTAAATTTGAATTAATTAATTTATATATAAATTCATTTTAATTACAAAAAATTATTTACCTTAATTATTACTAGAGGAATTAGCATAATATTAGCATTAATAAAAAAAAAAAATTAGAATTTTTTTTTTTTTTATCATCATTTAAACATTAAATTTTTCTTGCAATTCATGTTTGATAGATATATGCATAAATGTATTCTTTTGACTTTTTTTTTTTATTTTTTTTTTTAAAAAGAAAAATTAAATAAATTTATGTATAAACGTTTTATAAATTGAATGGTCAAGCGTCTCGTCAATATAAACTGATAACCGATATCCGATTAAAAAGTAATTCTAGTCTAAATTTGAAATTAATATAATGTAAAATAATGGGGGTACCGCGAACAAGACAAATAGTTCATAATTGAATTGTTTATTTTTAATTCTTATTTTTATAATAAAGAAAGGTTTAGGGGCCAACGGTCGGTTCGGTTCAAACCTGCGGTTTTGAACCGTGAAATCGATTGCAAATTTGAATAAAAAAAATATATCAAAGATTATTGCTTCTTACCCACATCTACCCCGCTTTTACTTTTTGTCCCATTCACTCATAACCCCGGTGCACTATCCGGCGCCTATTTTTTCGATTTCGTTTTTTTTCCCAGCAAAATCATTTGTCAATAAACCCTTTACCAGCTCCCGGAATAGGAAATTCACTATCTCGCCCATTATTGGCCAACTTTATTATATTAGTTATGATTATTCTATTATTTTTATTTCTTTATTTTATGAAATTAGGAATAGATAAATAGATATAAAGTAAGGACAAGGTTCTCCTTATTATATCGACCATCCGAAATAATTAAACCGGAGTGCTCGCTCTTTTATCAGTCCTTTAAATTTACATAATTTTTCTTGTTTTTTATATTTTTTATATATAGACAAGTCAGCGGACTGAGCGGAGTACAAAATAAAGATCTGTATTCTAACACTAGAATAATATACTACCATATCCCTCCATGGAACAGCCCTACCTTTTATTTTTGAAGTCGAATAGGCTCAGCCAAAATATGTACTATATTTAAAGGAGTCCAAGTAAAATAAGAAAATAAAAAGATACATTAAAAGAAAAAAAAAGAGGAAAAAGAAAAATCTATATAATTATCATTAAATAAAAATGTCAGGATAAGTAAATATATGTGACATCCAACCTCTCGAATGTAAAAATTTGTAGTAATAGTATATGATGTAAGTCGAATTGCATTATCTATGATCATATTTTGTGATGGCGTACGTTGTACTTGTCTTCTTTTGTTAGGTTATTTGTTTTACCTTTCGTATGTAATGCTTTTTATGTTTTTGCTTAACATTGTTTTCTCGTTCTCATTTTTGGAACGCGTCATTAAGTATTTGTTAAGAATAGAAGACATGAATTGTGTCACTATTGTTTTAATTCGTGTGGGACTAAATAGATGGATGAGATGTGATGAGTCGGTAACATTTGTGAACAAACTTGTTAAATCTGATTGAGTTAAGGTAGGAGTGCTGGACAAAAACTGAAGCGCGTATTTGAATCTTTTACGGATTTACAAATTGGGCACAATATATCGGTGATAGGTTAAACTGAAGGGTAATTGCGTTGTAAAATGTCACCAAGTCGAAAAATTCTTTATTCCATTTGGTTATTTTATTGTTTTTATATTAAATAAAATCTTTTCTAGTCAAAAATTTTTGAATTAGATGATTTTATTAAATTTATCTCGTTGGTTTATAATACATTAATCTTTTTTTTACGTACTTTTCGTAAATAAATGTTTTCAAGAAAATAAAGTTATTTATATATTGTTTAACAATTAATATCAGTTACTTGAATGTTAAAGTGATAATATCCTAGAAAAAAAAAGTTCTCTAAAAATAATTTGTTTTTTATCTTCATTGCGCGATGAATATTTTTTTAATTGCTACCATTTTCGGCGAAATGTCCCTTTGGCGAAATGGAATTCTGTGAATGGAACTTGGCGAAGTGGATGATTCGGTGAAATGGATTCAATAAAATGCACTTTCGGTAAAATGTCCTTTTGGCGAAACATCCCTTCGGTTCGGCGAGATGGTTTCGGTGAAATGGATTTCGGCGAAATGTATCGTAACCGTATTAAGTATATTATGATAGGTGTATGACCAGTCAATGTCGGAAGTGGAAAAATATGAAAATAGAGTCAAAAGGTTTTATTCTGGACTAGTCTGGAGAGAATATATAGCTGTTACTAAGCGTTTCTTTCCATTTTCTAATATCTCGATCAATTGGACCTATATTACTTGTTCCATGTAGGGGTCATAGGGGCATCTTTAATATTTTTAGGATTAATATGTAATGCTGGGTAAATGCGTCAAGTTATCTATATGAGATGTTAAAGTGCTTATACAATTCGCTGATTACGTAATTTTTATTTTATTTTTATTTCACAGAGAAAAACAATGCCAGCACAGACTATTAGAAGATATACATATAAATTCTGTCGCAGTACATAATAGAAAACTGAACATCAGCATTCCTCTGGTGGAAGAATGAGGAAAGGAAAAGCTATAACGAACTATGAGAACGAATATAGCACACACCAGGGATAGAGTGAAATAAAATTAAGTAACATGAGAATAAAAAAAGAATTAAAAGGAAAAAATCTAATACGTCTATATTATTAAAAAAAATTTCATCTGTGAATACCATGTAAAAAATTTGATGTCCATCTGATATATGCGAGTTAAAAATGAGGTTGTGAAATATTATGGCGTCATTCGTTGAATTATTATCACGTGATTTGATATGATAGTAAATTAGTATTCAAAGATCGTTCTCGAGGTTTGAAATTCTGAGAACGATTTTGCCACGTAGCCTCAGCCATCTTTATTAAACGAGAGAAAAACTGTGTTACGAAGCTGCCATCTGCCTGTATAATTGTAAAATAAATATGCTAAATTAGGTTACAGAAATATCTTGAATGGACAATTTCCTGAAACATAACAATAAACTGTATTTTTTTAAATTTTATTACATATTCTTTATAAATATTGCATCATAATTCAATATATCTATCTATTCAAGGAGATCAGATGACAATGATATTATTAAAGTGCCATAACATTTTGGAAATTGAAGGAATCGATTTCCATAATTAGAATCGATTTTTGACTAATCGCATCTAAAATTTGATTTTCAATTTCTAATCGATTGGAATTTGTGGCAGGAAAATTCCCAATGATCATAAATTTATCATAAATCATTTAATTATTAAACTTTTATAATTTTGCATTAAAATAAAACGTTTATCGTACAAATAATTAGTGATCGGTGGCTCTGGCCAGGTTTATAATTCCGGTCAGAATTAAAACTTCTGTGCAAGTCATGTGATTTATAATTTTGTAATTCTGGCCGGCACTATAGTTTTGATTTTTTATTCGATAGTTGAGTTAAATAGATTTTTGATTAATTCGATTTTGGCAAAATCGATTCCAATCCCTAAATTGAAGTTAGCAATTACTACTAAACATTTGTTAATTTCGCAATAAATATAGAAAAATTACTAACAAAACACTTTATTTATAAAATATAATTTTACGTATTGATAATTATCTATAATTTTCCGAAGTTTCTAAATTTAAAAATTATTATTATAGCAATTCTACAAATGTTATTATCTGGAAAAAAGTTTTAAAAATAGCAATTTATGTGGAATATTGGAATTCAGAATATCGGGATTCAGGATTCAGAAAATAGTATTTTAGGAAATTGGGATTCGGGAAATAAGGATTCGGATTGTATATTCAGGAAGGGTCCAGTTTGGAAATTAGTATTCAGATTGGGTATCGATTTTAATAATGGGTGCACGATTCGTTATCTAATCAACATAGTTCAGACCTTCGGGAATTACAGGATCAGCGTTGAGTTGCAGATATTTCGTTTCTTTCGGGATTTCCCCAATTCGCTAAAAGAATCGCCATTTGGGATCAGGTCCCGATGTAGGCAAGGGTCTATTTTCTACTGGCATCTACTATGTTTGAAATATATCACGGGGATGATCTAGGAAGTGTTAGTGTACTAATAATTATATTTTGATTTGTAATTTACGTTAACAGCTTTTTAGGAGACTATATAGCTTTATTTTTAGTTAGTTAATTTTTTATTATTTCTTTTATTTCTTTAATTGTATGATTCGTTTAATTGTAAATGTTTTTAATAAATCTAGTAAAGATAAAGGCGCTATGTCATGTTTACAGAAATTAGTATTCAGTTAATTGACTTCAGAAAAAGATATATTCGGAAAAATGGCATTCAGGAAATGGTCTGGCAATGGAATTAGGTGATGAATCAAAAGAAAGATCAGATCTAAATTTGAGTTTAAATATTCTATAGTATCTAAATGTGCAAATTGTTTGAATTAATTCTATCTTTTCTATTGTGTTTCAAGTAACATGTGTGAGTAAATCTTTGTGTTTACGTTTTAACTGTTAGCTTTATATGCAGGACATAAAGTTATATGTTGATTGGTGTCTGACAATTCGAGCATTGAATAGGACCAGTGGGATACAATCAAGGTAATTATGCTGTAGGGCATCAGCTGTGGAGTAGATAAATTGCATTTTTCATTTTAAGCGAATTCTGCGAGATAAACGTTTCACATGTGGGAAAGATTATGATTGAAATGTATATTAAATTCCAATCAATAGATCTCGATTGAGTTGATGCTATGAGAGGATGTGATGAAGAAATTGTTAAGGAAACCGTTGAATATTTTGGCTTGTATCAAAATGTTGGCCCATTTCCTAACGTTTTAGTCTACTGTAATATGGAGATGATTCCAGGCAACAAACCCCAGAGACTTGCTAGTGAAAAATTTTGGATTGATAATAATCGGATCAATTAAATAAGAGTGTGCTTTGATTTCATGGAGGTAAAGTAGTAAATGTTTCTCTTGAAAAAAGGTGAAAATTAAAATTAATTATAAGAAAGATTTTCTTTTTTAATTTGCGAGCGTCGAGTATTTTGATAATTGTTGTAAGTATCGATACAGTTAGTTGAGTCAGTAAAGATGCGTACACGACTGTCGTCAGTAACGTACATATAGCCATCGTTTCAGCTTTTGTTGAAGAAGGAAAAATATGGCAGTTCCTTTTAAAGTAGATTATATTTGGGAGCATTATTACTGCATTAAATCCATCCATAGAGATGCGTACGTGACTGCTCGAAGGAACCGTAACGCGGTACATATAGCCATCATTTCAGCTTTTGTCGAAGAAGGAAAAAAATATAGTAGTTCCTTTAAAGTAGATTATATTTGGGAGCATTATTACTACATTAAATCCATCCATAGTCCATAGAGCATTCGCATGATCTCAAAGCTCTAACTAAGCCATCTGTATAAAAGATGAAATTTGTATGGGAAGCAAAATCATTTGTTAGCGCTAAAAATTGATCTAAATCACATATGATATCGTTTTAAGAATGATTGGATCTATATTAACAGGCGATGAAGAATGCCACAATTCAGACGAGAGGAATTTGATTTTGTGCTAAGTACGAATTGTGACTGATATGTTGAGACTACGTAAAGTTTTGGTAAAAATTTAAAAGGCTTGGGGTATTAATTTACGTAATTTTTCTTTGCAATATATCAATTATGTGACTTTGCGAAAAAATCACGTGATAAACGCGTTGATAATTCAAATAATTCAAATATGAGTAAATAATTCTTATATAACCAAAGGTAATGATGGGGATTGGATCAATTGGATTATAAAGACTTCGTCACTAATTGAACTATTGGACCTAATAATTTTATTAATCCAATAAAATCCAATTATTGAACTTATAAGTATAGTCAACATTAGTATATGGGCTAGGAAGGAGTTTAAAGGATTATAGAAACTTAGTGTTTAATAGGTTTTACTATTTTTAGATTTTTATTTTCTTTCATTTTGTAAAATAAATAAATACATATAAACAATAAAAATTAAAATCATATTTTTTTAAATAAATATTTTCTTAATTAAAAAAATAAAAAATATCAAAATATTAAACATATACAATTAACCGATCTGTTTTTTTTATCGGTTTTTTTTTATATATAGAACCGACGGCTAACCGATCGGTCTTGGATTGAACCCGAATCGGTAAAATCCGGGTATGATCGGGTTGATAACCGAACTTTTGGTATCTCTAAACAAAGATCGCACACAATAGGTTGCGAAATCCTTATGAAAGTAACTACTAACAATACACTATCAACTAATATATAGCCGAAAAGCGACCGCCTCGCCTGCTCCTTTAATGAGTCATCAATAGGCACGGCCTAACCCTGAAATTAAAAAGAAGTCAATAAATAATACAAAAGAATAAAATATAAGAGGGTAAACTAACCTAAAAAAGAATATAACAGTTACCCATAGCACTGATTAAAAGACTTCCTCCTTTTCGACGTACCCCAATCCCCAAAAATACCCGTTTCAATATATCAAATATTAATATGTGGATTTAGTTAATTTCCACAAAATCATCATATTTAACAACTATTATAAATCAAATTTTAAAAAATTTTCATATATTAATTCTTCTAGTACTGACAGGATGGAAATATATACCCGGGTATTTTAGACAATAGTAGAGAAAGAGAGAACACTTAACGGGTACACTAGTCCTTTTATTTCCTGACTGTGACAGAGATTAGTTCCGCTAAAATGTTATTTCTGTTATTAGAATAGCGAACCTTGTGTTTTCTTGGAATGTCCGTTACCGGAATTCTTCGATTTCTTCTCTTTCTTCTTTTTCCTCTTAAACTACTTTGTGGTTCATAATTGAATTGATTTTCTGATTAACATTATAACTGAAGGGATTTAAACAACATATCTACTACTAAGCATTATCCCATTTTTGTCGTACTCACTTTAGATGTAATAAAGTAAACTCGCTTAATTGACAATACGATTTTCTTATTAAAATGACTGGAAGTTTATGAACATTGATCATTCATTCTTGCCATTCTTTCGATAAACGGAAAAGTGGCAATGGAAATGCCTGTGTAACATGGTTATTCACAATCTAGTCAATCTACGTATCGGCCATACACTACTGTTTATTTCAGGGGAATTTCAAAAAATTTAAACCACATACCCTGTTTTTAGCAAATTCAATAAAATATGTATTCATTAAATTTTTTTCAATAAGAGGAATTTAATGGGATTAAATTTTATTTTTATAGCCATATTAATTACTGAGATAAAATATGGAGTGATTTTCATCTGACATAGATAAGAGATGTCTTTTATCGTATCAATTTTATATGACTATTTAAAGCAATTTTTGCGTTCAACATAAATTTATTAATAATTCATTTCCATATAAATAAACTCTTAAAAATAATTCCCCTTTTTTTCATGAGTTTTTTAAAATCAGAGTTTTTATACAAGAAGAATGTCGGAGTTTGCACGTTTCTTTAATTTCAAAATAGACTTTAAAACCGTGCAATAAATATAATAAATTAAATTGGATTACACAATTACACAATTACTTTTAATTGAACCATTCGCGAACCAATCTAAATATATATTCAAGTAATTACAACAGTTATAATAGTTAACACAATAAACCCTTTTGAAATTATGTATTAAATATAATTCAGCCACCTTCACCAAATTAAATGACCAGTTGACCACTATAATTAGTATAAGAAAGGTAAAATTCTAAATAATGTAAAATATAAATGATCGCTATAATTAGTATAAGAACGGTAAAAATTAGGCTAATTTTGACAATGTATACAAACTTTATTTTTAAATCAGGTAAAATTGGGTTTAACCCAGAATATTTTATTGCTTAAAAAAAAAAAGCTGAGATCGAAGTTTAGCTAAGTATATTTTTTAAGAGGAGATCTGAATATTCATCAAGGCGAATGATTAAACAAGTTATGCATGGCATATTATGATACTACTAAATTGGAATATTATAAATATTATAATATTAATGCTGACAAATTAAAAAAGATCAGAATTACAAGATGAAAGATTGAAATTTTTGATATTTCTTGTTAAGTAAAATCAACAAACCAATGAAAGAATAATATTAGACAACAAACTCAAATTTCAAGATCATCATCATGTATACGAACAATTATAGTATAATTCAATTACTCAGGATGTACATAAACACAAATACGATGTTAACGATTGTTCATATTGTTTTTGTATATGAGCCAATATTTAGAAAATTTTCAACTTTAATTCCCTTTTTATTAAACTTTTTCTCAGGAATTTGAAAAAAAAATAATTTTTTTTAGTTGATTCATTAAATTTAGTGTAACTATTTTTGAATAGAGTAAATTAGAGTTTCATTAAGATAAGATGCCAATTAGCTAAAATATAAAACCCCTCCCCTTTATTGATTATCAAAACAACTTAAAATCTCTAAGATTATGATATTTGACCAAATAAACTCCGATAAAAAAAACTAATATTTTACTTTTTTGAATTATATCTATTGAGCTATTGAGCGTATTGGTGAACTTAGAATAATAGAGCGAAAAAAAATGCTATTAGAAAGTGTTATAACTAAGAAATGGAATCCCTAATTGTTATTTTTTTGATGCTTTTATAAATAAAATATCAAGGACATTTCGTGTTACCGTTTTATTATCCAATTGACGGACAACGTGTATTTGATGTGTTACCTATCAAAATTACGCCCATTCTTAATTATATAATTTTTTTTTTTTTTATAAAATTTTTAATTTTTGATTTTTCGATTTTTCTTTTCAATATTCAATTCCCAATTTTTTTTTTTTTTTAATTACCTTTCTTTTAAGAAAAGAATAATTTTGTTTTGTAAACAATAATTTAAAAAATTAACTTTGTTATGACGTATGTTATTAATATGTTCGGAGAATATTCGGAAAATATAATAATCCAAACGAATATAAGCTTATTTGTATTTTCATTACAGATATAAAATAGACGTGTAAATCCAATTTACCTTGAGGTATGTTAACTTTTTTTAACCTATTATTTAAAATTTTAACACATTACGAGACACTACGTTGACAAATGACAATGACCGTTTATTACTTAATGCCCAATAAATCAAGGTTGGGCATTATTAACATTGTTGAATTGTTGATCGGAAAAAACCTGTTATCATATACATATTTTACGTATTACAAAACCTTATTTGATAAACAAAAAAAAAAAAACAATCAAAAACTTTCTTTGACCCCCTAAAAAATTTCATTAAAAGATGAAACAGAACACTCCTAATACTTCCGCAATTTCAAATTGAAATCACTATATAAATTGATCAGAAAAAAAAAATATTATATATATAAATAAATACATCTTTCTTCTTCTTTTTTTACCTTCTTTTAAAGAAATTTAGTTGAGTTGCTGCTAAAGTAACGACCATTCTTTTTCACATTCATTCTTTCATTTAAGTATTCGTTGAAATTCTTCCCCCCTTTTTTTTCCTGGAATAAAATGTCATCCAACGATTCAGATAAAGTAAGTTTAAGTTTTTCACCAAGACAAAATTCATTCCAACAAGGACTTTTAGGACTTGAATCATCTAAGGTCGCGGGAATATTAAAACTCAATTACCCATCCTCAAAACCATTAGTAGCAAAAAGGATTGAATTAGTATTTTCTGGTAAAGAAGAAATTTTATGGACAGAATATCAACCTAGTGGTCGTGGATATACAGCATCTGTTGTTCAATCAGAACAACATGAATTCACTCGTTATTCCTTCGATATATGGGAAGCAGAACGAAATGATGGAGATAAAGGAAAAGATAATTATGAAATTATAAAGAATTTGGAATTACCTTTTTCTTTTAAACTTGAAAATAATTTACCTCCTTCAACTACAATTAAATATGACGATGGATCTGCCAGAATCTATTATCGCGTTGTTGTCGTTATTCATCGTAAATCCAATCTTTTAAAATTACAAGGAAAGAAAAAAGTTATAAAATTTACAATTCCAATTACAAGGTATGGAAAAATTCCTTATAAATCCGATATGATTTTATGGAATTCTGAAAAGGAAAAATATGGAGTTGGTTATGATATAAAAATTGAACGTGAAATATTCACTAGAGGTGAAACTATTAATGTTCCAATTAAGATTATAATTCGAAATTCACGTGTTAAAATTAAGAAAGTTAGTGTTGGACTAAAACAACATACAGAATTACAGAATGCTGGATCTTTAGTTAGACCAAAAGAAAGTGTTGATCTTTCTTTGGAGGAAGTTGATGGTGATATGGTTAATTTAGCTGCAGATTCTGAACAAGAATATTATATAGAAATGAAAATAAATATTCCCAATAATGACACCGTCAGATGGTCTGTATGTCAAAGTCTTCTTGTTGTTTGGCATCAGATCGAAGTAAAATTTGTTCTCGAATCTGCACAAGATATTTTATTAGAAAAGGAAGTAAAAGTCATTAATTTTCCAAAAAAATAATTAATATGAATATGAATATAAAGTATAAATATAAGAATGAATCTATATGTGTCTACATCTATGATTAAATTACGGCTTATGTTTGTATTTTTTTTATAACGTTATTTGCTATTTTTCACCTCGTATTATACGTATTTAATAAACATAATTATATATGAGACTAAAATTTTTTTACTCTGGGCATTACCCGTTTTTCTTAATTTTTCGTTTATAAGATTCATTTATTTTTGTCATTTATTATTATTATTATTTTTTTTTTTTGATCTAAAATATTTCCTCAACGATGCTTCAAAAAAAAGCACGTAGTTATACATAAACGCAGTAAACGCAGCCAAAAAATTAAATTGATTAATCGAAACAGTAATCGAAATTGGGGTTCGTACATGATACATGATGATTTATACAAATACCCAATAAAAAAATTGTTTCCAGTTTTTTTCTGATAATATTTATTTAGAGTATGCCAAGAATCACTAATGCAACCGACTTTTAGAATCCGAGTATATTAACTACGTTAATGAATGACATTATACAGATGTATTACCTATGTAAATTATTTGTACGTGCATTTATTAATTTGAGCATATAAATTTTAAAAATTCGGAGAATGTTTAGAATTTGAATTACTAATAAATGCTTATCTCATAATTTCTATTGAGAATACAATTTGAAATTAACATCATCTCATTTCTTTGATAGTTAGTTAATTAATTTTAGTAGTGATCATCTTCACATGTGCTCGTGTGGTGTTTGTCTTGGCATATGAATGAACAGTTTTGGATTGTCATATAAATTTTTAATTGATTTTTAAATTCTTTTGCTTAATTTATCCTGTTTTTTAAAGTGACGGAACATTATTTTGTATCAGGTTATGTCCTTCACGGATATAAATCTTCCAATTTCAAATATAGATTGTGGAATTTGTAATATAATGTAAACTTTTAAATTTTTCTCGAAATCCTAACACGAAGGTTCCAAAATGTGCTCTTTACTTAGATATCTCGATATCTCGAAGCATTGTGGACATTATTAACGCTGGTGAAACGTATGACAAAAAATTATTAAATATTATCGCGAAATCTTTTTGATTGGTTCATTTTCTGTCCATTTTTTCCAAATAGAATATTTGTTTATAAGATTGATTGATTTTTACAAACAAAATGCTAGATATCTACGGAAAATTTTATTGAAATTTAGGATTTATAATAAAATGGGTGAGTGCTAGAAAAAGGGTGAAAACTCTAATTTTTAGCATAGTAACCAATCAATACAAATTTGAGCAATTAATTCAGAATATTCATTATTTAAATAAAAATTTTTTTTTTTTTTATAATTTGGTTCTTTTTACTGGCACTCGCCCTAAATGTACCGTGGGACCTATCATTAACGAAATTGTAGTTTACCAGTAAATAATAAATATTTGGTATTTATCTCTTACGTGTAAAACAAACATTAGAATTATCTGATCTTCAGAAAAACCTGTAATTTCTCTTTCATCGACCACATTACAAAACTTTTCTTGGCCACTAAACAATTTTTTTTTTACCAATTTTTTTTTTTTAAAAAAAATCAAATATATTAACATAATAAAATGAAATTTCAGAAGTATATGGAAAAGAGTGTCCTTAACCTAGGCCCCGGGTCTAGGATAATATCTATACCCCCCCCAAATATTGATTGGTTCAAAAATTATCATCTCATATTTTCGTGTAACAGTTATCTTCGCGTCAAAAAATATTTTCTTTCTACCTTTAAACTTTTTTAAAAAAAGTGAAATTTTTATACATTTTTATATACTTTAATATTTAAAAAATAAAAAATATGATGTAATTTTGTACATATTAGTAATATAGCCAGTTAAAGATAATAAAACTAAAAAGGGTCACTTTATTAAGAAAAAGCTTATTTGAATTAATGACAGGATTAAAAAATAACATTCTATTAACTGTTGTTAAATGCTACTATATTGTATTGACACTGAAATTTTTTACTAAAATAATGCATTCTAGTATTATTACAAAAAAAAATTTATAACTCTTATATTTAAACTAGTTTTATGAAAAATAATATCAATACTTGCTAAATAACTTTTAAGTTTTTTGTTAACTAAAGCATTCAAGTTAGACCTTAAAAAGTAAAAAAAAAGACAAAAATACATCTTAATATTATTAAAACCACCTATAATTTCACGCTAAACTTACAAAAATTAATACGCAAGTATCTCTACTTTTTTGAAATATTTTTTACCTACCATATCATTCATATCATTCCGAAATTAAACAACCATTTTTTGAACTTAATTCCGGATAAAAGTAGTCATAATTCCGCCATAATGCAGGCCAGGGTTGCTTATTTTCGGGGTTGTTTAATTTCGGAATGGTATAGTATTCATTTTAATCTTATAGTTTTATTAATAAAAGTACTTGCAAATTACAAGTAAAACATTTACTTTCTTGATTAACTATAATTATCCCATATAATTACTTAGGCAATATTTTTAATAAATACTTTATATCCTTTAAAAAAGATAATAGAATATTCTCCACTTACACCTGAACTCTCTAATTTTATTCAATTCCTTTAAAACTATTTCAGAATTTCAAGTATAGAAAATGCTTTAAAATGAATTTGATAATTAATTCTGTTAGCTTCAAAGGTAATACATCAGGAAATTTGTTTAGGCGTAATTTAGTGTAATATTTCAAAGATAATGTAAAATTTAAAAATATTACACTAAAAACGTAATATTACAAAAGTTTACGCTCTTAAATTTGAATAATTATAGTAATTTAAGAATATCTCGCTATCTACTGATCCAATCAAGACGATCTATAGCTCATTGGAATCAGCTCATCAAGACGGATCGAATGGTAGTAAAATCGCATTTCTACAGTTGATAGAACGCTCTATAGTATGCAGTAAAGTTTTAAATTAATAGAAAATCATCTATCGAACGTAAAGATACGATTTTACTACCATTCGATTCGTCTTGATGAGCTGATTCCAATGAGCTATAGATCGTCTTGATTGGATCAGTAGATAGCGAGATATTCTTAAATTACTATAATTATTCAAATTTAAGAGCGTAAACTTTTGTAATATTACGTTTTTAGTGTAATATTTCGAAATTTTACACCACCTTCGAAATATTACACTAAATTACGCCTAAACAAATTTCCTGATGTAATAAATCAAATATGTTAAATTAACAAATTAATGTAACTATTAATTAAAATTCACATAGTATTATATAATAAATCAAATCTTAAAACTAAAGGAATAATATTCAAATTATTTTAAAAGCAAAATTAATTTTTAAAAAATAAAGCTACATTTATTATTGCAAATAAATAATTAGTATTATTTACTTACTGATAAATACCAACCTATAATAATATTAAATCTTTTAATTGATAAATACTTATAAAATATTTTTAATATAAAAATATTTAAAAAAGCTATACTTTTTTATTTTATTAATTAATAAAAAAATATTGAAAAATTCTAGATATTTTTTCTCTTATTTTTTACTTTAAGTTTTTTATTTATTTTATTATTTTTTATTAATTTACAAATAGCTTATATTAGAAATATAAATATATATAATATTATTAAATAAAGATCTCTATCTGATATTATATTTGTAAAAAAATATCTAATATAAAACATATTTGCCAACATCATATCTCAATACCTGTATTATAAATAGGACTAACTTTTTCAAAATACTTATATAATGAAAAAAGTAAATACAATAATTCTTACAACTAATCAGTTCAAGATTTATTTATAATATGCTTGGATCTTATGATCTAAATAGGATGTTTAATCAAAGGATACTAGTTATAAAGATTATAAAATTAAATATAAGGTAATCAGATTAAAACTTTAATTATTTGATTTACAGAGAAAAATATAAAAATGTCATGACATAACTGTTATAGAAAACAATATGTATTACATTATGATGAATTATTTTAAATAGTTATTTTAAATAGTTATTTACTTAACAGTATATATGTAGAATACTCATTCATAAGTATGATGAGTAATTTGATGATTAATATTATTAGGTATTATAATTTAGTTTATTTTGCATTTATATAATTAAATTAGTATTTTTTTTTTATTTTAATAAAAAAGGTAATTAGTAAAATTTAAATGTTTAATATTTAATTTCATTTTCATCTTCAATGATTTTTATCTTATTAATTTTATATTACATTTTACAATTTTTATATAATAAATATATATACAAAAATTTTTTTTTAAATAATATTAGTAATGATAAATATTAGTAATAAATTTATAATATAATACTAATTAGTATTTTATTAGATTTTTTAGTAATTTTAATTAAAAGTATATTATAATATTAGTATAGCAACAGTTATTAGTTATTACTAGTAAACTTTGGCAATTTTTTTTTCAAATATACAAATATTTTGCTAAATATCTTTTAATACAATTAACTCTTTTTAAATATGTAACAGTCTATATTAAATAACTATAAAGAGATGTAATTATATAAAAAATTATATATATATATATATATTATAATTCTAACCAAAAATTAATATAATTTTAATTAAAATTATACTTAAGAACTTTATTATTTCATAACTCTACCAATATTAATAGAAATGGTCTTACTACTATTTGATTCATTTTAATGAGATGATTCTAATGATATAAAGTATATCAAAATCTAATTATTAGATTAATTTTTAAAATTGAAAATATTAAATGGTTTTTAAGTAGTAACTTCACCAATATTAAACATAAAAAGATGATTTTACCACTATTTGATTTGTTATAATAAGATGATTCTAATGGTATAAAATGTATCGAAATTTAATTACTAGATCAATTTCTGAAATTAAAAAATATAAAATAATTTTTGTCTTTTTGAATAATAACTCCATTAATATTAATCATAAAGAATGAATTTACTACCATCAGATTCATCATTATAAGACGATTCTAACAAGCTATTATTAATCATCTTTTTATAATCACTAGGTACTAAACAATTTAATAAGTGCAATAAATATAAATCAAAAAATTAAAACTTTAAATAGTTCAGATTGATCTGGTTTGGAGAGTAATTCAAGACCAGACTAAAAAACTTGCTTTATTTTAGTCTAATCCAGATTATGTTAAAAGATAATCTAGGACTAGATTGGACCAGACCAGTTATTTAATTCAGTCCAGTCCAGTTTTATAATAAAAAATATTGTAAAAACATTTTTTAATTATAATTATTTTGAAAAATGTTTTACAATTTTTTTTGTTAAATTAATTAAAATAATATTGCAAAAATATTTTTTAATTAAAATTACTTTAAAAAAATGTTTCATAACATTTTTTATTAAAATTATTTTAAAAAAATATTTCACAACATTTTTTAATTAAAATTACTTTAAAAAAATATTTTGCAATATTTTTTCATTAAATTAATTATAGAAATGCTGCAAAAACATTTTTTTTATAATAATATATTAAAAAAAAACATTTTGCAACATTTTTTTATTTAATAATTAAACAATTACAATAGTTTTAATATAAAACTATTGTGAAAACAATTACTTGGTCTAGTCTGGTCTTAACCCATTTAATTCAGTCTGGGTTAAATTTATAATTCAGGACTAAATCAGATCAGACCAAATATTTCAGTCCAAGTTGAAGCATCAATCCAAACTATACCAATCCTAATTTTTAGTCCAAATTACTGGATTAGAACTGGACCAATTAGAACTTTACAAAAAATATTATAATACTGATTTTTAATATTTTATTGAATAACTCATCAGCTAGTAATTGTAGAAAGATAAAATTACTACTATTTGATTTGTCTCAGTGAGACAATTCTAACAAAATATAATACATCCTTTTACAATTATTAGATACCAAGTTATTTAATATATTCTTTACATAATTGTGATTATAAACAATTCTTTTTAATAAGATTTTTGAGGATAGGTGTGATAGTAACTATAGATAAATTGTGATTATATAGGATAGATTTTAATAATAAAGTGGTTTGAATATTTAACTAATATGACTATATAGTAGAATATAACTATAATAAAAGTGACTATAGAAGAAATTGACTATAATATCTTTTATTAAATTTTTTTAATATACTATTTTAAAATTACTTTTTATATTTAAGTAAACAAATTATATTTTAAATTTTATAAAATTAGATATAATATTTATATTAAAAATATATATTTTTTATAACAATTAACTGAATTTATTAATTTTATTTATTAATTTTAAAGTATAATTTTACTATTTTAATCAAATAAAATTGACTTTTTTATTAACTAAAAATTGTTTAGCAAGGTTAAATCTATTTATATATTAAGTGTAATTTAATATTTGTAAAAAAAAATTACATTTTTACTATAATTATACAGTTAATTCTCTTTAAATATATTATTTTTAAAATATGAAAATTTGAAAAAAATGTGTATTTAAAAAAAGTTATGCATTTAGAAAGAAAAATTTTATATAATCTTTATATACTTGAAATTGCATTTAAAAAAAAAATATATAATATATATATTTAGAAAAAATACATTTAAAGAAAGCTGGCTGTACTAATTTTTAAATTTTTTATTTTTCTGTTTTCTAATTTTAGAATGTAATTTTACTATTTTAATCAAATAAAATTAATATTTTTTATTAATTAAAAGTTGTTTAGTAAAGTTAAAACTACTTGCTTATTAATTTTTTTAAGTATAAATCTGATACTGAAGAAAAAATCATATTTTTTATAATATTAACTTGCAAATTTTTTATTTTCTATTTATTAATTTAGAGTGCAATTTTACTACTTTGGTCAAATAAATTGACTTTTTTTATTAATTAAAAGTAAAGATGTTAGCCTTAATTATTTTTTGAAAAATTTTGAATTACAACTATAAGATTTTTATAGCCTTAATTAATTATGGCATATAAAAATTTTATGTTATAGCACTTTTTTGAATTATGGCTAACATTTTTAATTAAAAGTTGTTTAATAAAATTAACCTATTTATATATTAACTTTTATAAATTTAAATATAATATTTGTAAAAAAAATTATATTTTTCATAATAGTATTAACTTGCAAATTTTTTTTTTTTCTGTTTGTTAACTTTTATTATTAATTGAATGTTGTTTAGTTGGTAATGTTTAATTCTACTTGTATATTATATTTAACTTTAATAGCTTTATAACATATTATTTCATTATAAATTATATTTAAAATTGTAATATTTTTTTATTAATCATACAATTAATAAATATAATCATTTAATGTTTGATCGGACTAGTCTGAAGCTGGAAGTATCATTCATAGAATATTTGTGATTATTATGTAATCCAAATATATTTTAATAAAATGGTATATGATTCAACATTTAAAAAATAAAATAAAATAAAATAAATATAATCATAAATTATGTGAATGATATGATTGGTGGTTAAAATTACCCTTTAATATTATATAATTAAATGTAAATAATTACTATTATATATATTATACTTTGTTTTTATTTCTATAAATCATTTAATGTAATAAATAGATGGCAGTTTCTAGTTGTACACGTAGTGTATGAATATGGGTCACGTGATTCAATATAAATCTTATTTCACGTGACATTAAATGTACAGACTAATTTTTTTATATCTTTATTATAACACCAATAAAATAACATGCACGCGTTTACGATACTACAAATGCATTGACGATAAATGCGCAATAAATGCGCCTAAATAACATTTGAACATGTCTTCACGTAATGTCCATATTGCTTACACTTGCTACATTTCTGACCTTTTGTACCGCTTGCTGAGTCTTCTATATGACTTGAAATACAGTGTTCTTCTACTACATTGACAATATCTTTTAGTACCCGCTTTTCTCTATGTAAGTTCTTTTCAACATTTGATATTAGCCTCTTCGGAGGTCGTCCTTTATGCTTGACAATGATAGGATTATTAATATCGGTTAAGACTTCCAGTCTACCCTGTACGTCATAAATAAAGGCCTTGAAAACATTTAACAATTCATGCTGCATATCAGCTTTAGTGGCATAGTCAATAGCCTTCTTCGATAATCCAGATAATTCTGCATATATGGCTTTAGATTTTACAGGTAATTGAGATGATTGGGACGATTGAGGACCATATGAATCAATCCGAATGGAAAAGAAATGTTGGAAGGTAGCATGACTTTGAAATGGTATATCATCTTCTGACTGTGTCTTATCACATATTGGAATAAAGGGATATTGTTGCAAAAGATCACTCAGCTCAACATCAGGATTAAGGTACCACCGACTCAGAATTATACTTATATGGAAGGTGGCAATTCTAGAGTAGGTGCCAACTCGAAAAAAGTGCCGACATACCAACCCCTTATTAATTAAAAGAAGACAGGTACATAGATGTGTACCTTTGTCAAGCAGAATTGTATAATGCCCAATTCCCTGTGTGTCAGTTGCTCGTATATTCCATACTTCAAGAATTGTTTCTGTTGGTAAATTTGATATTAACGATCAGAAAAGAACCTGCCTTGTGTCTCGTTCTTGTTTTCTAATTCCCACACCTATTTCTTTATCATCAGTTTCCACCTATAAATGCAAAAGATGTAATTAATTTAAGAGTTTTTTCTACTTCAATTCTAACAGATTTTGAATGATACCTAACCTCCATCAAATGATGCCATTCTGTAATTTGGTTAATGTCGTAACATACAGATTGATTCATCTTCTCTCTTTGCTTTCTGAGCATTATAGGAGTCAAGAATTCTTTGATAATAGTGTCTACTTGATTGAAGAATCTTGTATTCAGCATCGGCAAACCGATTGTAGGTAAGGGCCGTAAGGCATTTCCTTCTACTTCAAATCTTTCTAAATGTTCGTCATTATTAACGTGATCGTTAAGGGTCCAGTATATTACGTCATCATTTGTATATGACCATATGACGATCATTTTATATGATCACGTGACCACGAAATTGACGAGAAAACTCTTGGAAAAATAAAATATTTCCCAACCTACCATATGAATTTTATTAAATATACGTTCAAATAATAAATATAATGCATCCTATCTACATTTTAACCATTTATTAATATTTCTATATATTTTTA